TTTAATTGTATCAAGTTAAATCTGTTTAGAATGGAATAGTTGGGTACAGAACACCTTTAAATGCATCGTGAGAAACATGTTGATAAACAGCCAGTCCCTTCTGTGAAACAGAATTGGAGAAAAAAACCAGCTTTAATGAAAGGGTCTGTGAAATTTAGTGTCTGTGAGATAACCAGATTTAAGATAGACTGTATTTTTTTTGCTGTTGTTTCCTTTATTTAAAAGCAGGATTTTCTTCCTAAAGTTGAATCTTTTGAAAGAACTGGCTTGCATAAACAGGAGGAACCTCATATGAGGATTGCAAAACTGAAAAAAAAACCTCTCTGCCCAAAATCCTGAGCCCTCTTCCATGTGGGATAAAAATAGGGTAACAATGTCCCAGCATCCCTCCAGACCCCTTCATGCTTCAGGGTTAGAAAGACAGCCAATTCTCTGGACCTTCCCACAGCCTCCTGTTCTCTTTTTTCACTCTATGGCTTGTAGGAATGTTTCAAACACATCAAACTGATGCTCTGAGGATGAGAAAGGAGATGCTAGCAAATTTAATTTCCAGCTTTTAAAAAAAATTCTGTGATCCAATTGAATTCCATAACTGCATATCAATTGTTATAAAACAAAAAAAAAAAAAAAACAAAAAACAAAAAAAAAAACCACCACCAAACAAACACACATTAAGAAGATTCAATAGAAAATGGAATTGGTTTTAGGGCTAAATAAATACAAGTTAGCTACAAAATGTCTTTGTGCAGTGGGTTTTAAGAACAATTGAAGTGCATACTTATTCAACAGATTTTTTTTTAAGCTTTCAGAAATGACAAACATTAGATTTGCCTGAAAGAAGAAATTACAGAATTGAAATTTTTGGTGTATATTTATATATATTTGAAATTCTTACTTAATAAGATGCATTCAGAAGTAGTAAAGATGTAATATACACTGAAAATAGTAGACATGGAAGAAAATTGCATCAAGAAAATGAATTAAATTGGATTTCAAGCTGTCCATTACACAGTGGAAATGAACTTAGAAGAGGAAGATACAGCTTGACATGCAAAATAATTATTTTAAATGCGAATATGTATTAAAAGGTTGTGTCAATATGCAGGCACAACTCCAGTGACCTTGCCTGGTAGGGCATGGGGAATTTCACCATCAGACTGCTGCAGGCTAATTAGCACTGCTCTCATTTTCCAAAAATAGAATAGTCAACTTTATTCTTTGTTTGCAGAACCCTTTTTCTCTTGGACTATTGCAAAGCTTTTTAATAAGAAACCTTAAAGTGCATTTATGAAATGAGTCAGATATATTAACTGGGTGTGTGGAAGCAAATAAAAAGGAACTTATCAAAGTGATGTCAGTGGTAGAGAGAGCTGGCTGAAGAGCTCACAAACAAAACATACCCAATTTTGGTTAAGCCCTTGGAGGGAATATCCCATTTTCTTGAAACTTGAAAAGCATTACAGGTATCTAAAGATACTTCTGCCTGCCATTCTATTCTCATATTTTAACACAGTCAACAGTTTGGTTTAGGTTTTACAAGCTGCATAAATTCTGTTAAAGTTAAGAAGTAATTGATTGAGGGAAAATAGTTGGTTGCTTTTCCCTAAGTGTGTCTCTTATCTGGACAGTGTGGGTAGAGTCAATTCCATGAGTGGAGGGCAAGCCTTGTAGGGATTTCAATCCCTGGTATGGAAGGCAGGGCTTGACTTTTGCATTTCCTCCCTCCTCTCCAAGAACAACTGGCAGAACTCAGTCTGTGTCACGCCAGCACATTGAACAGAAACCTTTGCCTTCTGAGAGAACAGAAAGAACAGATCTGTTTGTTTTTGGTCTAGGAATGGTTTCTCTTCTACCTATCTCAGGCAAATTCAACTCTAATAATTACGCAAACTCATCAATCTCCATTTTGAAGTACTTCTGTGCCAATTACCCTTAGAAAACTGTTCCCCAAACCCAACCTCATTGCACTGAAGCTGGGATATGTTCTTCATGTTGTGTTTGCTTTCATGGAAACATTACCCTTCAGCTAAAATATTATTTTCCCTTTTCTGGTTTTACTTCAACTGTATGTTTGTTAACAGAATGCTTATCTGCCAAAGCTGTTATTTTGGCAAACTCGGTCATTCAGCAACCTCTTTGCAGTTGTATGATCACTTAAGAATGGATCAACACAGCAGAATTATTGAAAGTATTTGCTCTACCTGCTATTTTGCATCCTGTTCTTTCAGAATTCTGCTGTGATGAATATTTGGTCTCAAAAGACCAAATAAGCTCCTTAGCAGTTTTGCTAACCTGATTCCCCTTAGCCATTCTGCCTCTTGTTCCATGCTCAGCATCATCTCCTCTGATTGAAACGAGGCAGAGCATTTACCCAGTTTTTGGGTTATACCTAGATTATCTTTAATCTCTTTAATCTCTGTCCTTCCTGCATAGTAACTCCATTCCCCCCAGTTTACTTTAATATCCTTTGCCAAGTCTAATTGTCATTTGTAAGTCTGCATTTGTTAATTTCTAACACACAGCTTAATTTAATGCTCCGTACTTTTGTGTTGGTTCTTCATACCCAACATCTGTTTTCGTTGCCACTGTTCATCCTACTGCTCAAGCCTATTTACACATTTAAAAGAGCAATCAAAGATCCAAACGATGGAAAAACACATTTCCTAAATGTGGTACTGCACTGTGCTTCTCAGCTTCCAGGTCAGGTTATTCTAGCAGCTTGTTTTCGTTGTTCTAAAGGAAACTCTCATTAGACAGATGCAACATTCCCTTTGCTTACTTAGCATTGCTTAATATGTACAATTTTCTGTTTATATGCTGCTTTCAAGCTTTATTCTGGGTGAAATACCCATTTGTGTTCTATAAAGATTTATGTGGCTTTATGTAGCTTCTATATTCACTCCTAAGTGGCGATGAAATGAAACTTTTCTATTTACTCTATGGATGACATTTATGGACTGAGCAAGAATGAATGTGAAGTACTCTGATAATTCAGAAGAAAAATACAACAGTAGTATTGGTTTCCTCAAGGAAGACATAATTTTTGATATGGTGGTGTAAACTGAACACTAACGAGAATTTCAGCAATAAATCAACTTTTATAACAAGGACAGTACATTAAGCATAGATATATTTATGCTAACACAGAAGTTTTCAACTCTGTTTTGTACATGTGTTTTGCTAATTTCATTCCACATATTCTCCACCTGCTCCCACACATCTAATAACTCCTTATTAAGGTTGCCTTTTGTTGTCTCCCATCATGGTTCTCTTGAATTTCCTACTGCAGGTTGTTTTCAGCTCCTACTTTCAAAGTAATTTCTTGCTTCAGCTGACTGCCTTCATAAAACTAAGCAGCTTTTGCCTTGAATATTTTGTGATAGGCAACTTGGAGCACTGTAAGGTCTCTTGCCACCTCGGTGTGAGGGGAGGGGAAGCTGTCCTTTGCAGCATCTGTTGCCTAGCAATGTTTCTCAGGTGCCTTTAGCTGTGCTGCACTGTGATCAAAGCTGGAAAGGCTGAGCGTAAGGGAAAGTGAAAATGGGCTTGAAAAACACTGTAATCAAAGCACAGCTGGTGCAACATCCATGATTTTTACGTGACAGTGGAGGGACCCCAGCAACAGGTGCCATTGTGTGCAAAAGGCTTAACTCTGCTTCCCAAGAGCACAGCACTCCTTAGAGGAGAGAAAGCAGCATCTCCATCCAGCAGCTCTCTGCTGGACCGTGTGGCACCGCTCTGCCCGTTCAGGAGTCAAACGGATAGAGCTCAGCCTGGATTCCTGTTCTGTTCACATCACCCAAGACATTTGCACTCACCATCAGGTGGCATTAGAACCAGAGCCCAGGGGGCAGCGTGTTTCCTACGGGATGCATTGCTACAGGTGGGATGGAGCACTCTGAGAAACTCTGCTGCTTTTCACCCAGGCATTGTTCAAAGGTCCAGGCATGGCTTTGCATGTACCAGACCATCACTGTGACCCATCTGAGCTATTTCATAACATTCCAACTCATCCAGTCCAACCCTTCACTAAATGTGGGAAATTTCCCCATGCCTGAACACTGACCCTGTTGTTTTAAGGCTTAAAAAGTAGAAATTGTAGAATAAATCTTGTGTAAGAAGGATTTGTTAATGGATGTTACCCAAGTTACTGACATGCCAGGCTAAGTTTTATTTGTGAGATGATGCTTATAACAGCGCTGCACAAACTTAGATGGATTGTCTGGTAGCATTCGTGATGTTACAGGGCAAATGAGATTAATTAGCCTTGCAAAACCAATCCTGTCTCAGTGACATCATCAGGATGGGAATATCTAGATTAAGACAGTATGGTCCCAGCCTAACACAGCTTTTTCCAAAACTGTGCTTGTTGCTTGAGTGTTTGGGTTATTTAAGTGTGACTAATAACTAATTTAGGCACCCATACAAGTGTTTTATCTATGAAATGACCCCTGAATAGAAACATGAACATGTACTCTGTTGTTAAAAATTTGCATTCTCTGTGTGGTAGATAAAATTCCAGGGATAAACTAAATAATTCTAAAGGCAAAACTTCTCAGAAAACCAGAAAGATTAGGGTACAGAAGCTAAAAAAAAAAAAAAAAAAAAAATCTTGGTAATCTCTTGTCTTTCTTTAAAGTTCACAAAATAAGAATTTCATCACCCTGTCTTGCAAAAGTGTGAGAGGAAAACGTGGCAGAAAGATGATTTTGAAATGCACTTAAAACTTTCAGCGCTGCTAGAGAGTTAAGCAGATAAATATCTCCCCCAACTAACCAGCTGCCAAGCAAGACTCTTCAGTGTTTTTGGAACTTCACAATGACATTTCATATACCATGCTTTTGGCATGTGAACAAAATCCATACCCTGCTGCTTCTCCCTTTCCTGATACTTCCTCAATTAGAAAGATCTTAGTTATTTACCACAGTTTTATGTATTATATTTCATAAAAAGAAAATGAAATTACTTTCAGGGAAAGAGATAATTAGTAGCATACTCACCCAACACCATGATTCCTCCAGTAATTTCAGACTTCAGCCATTCTATACTGCATGTGAGTTTCAAGTTTAAACTGATCATTTGTTAGATAAAATAATCTTTCAAGATTAAGAAGATAGACTGATGTTTTGTTGACTGGAGAAACTTTAGTTGAAGGTTTTGATTTGCAACAGCCTTTTCCTTAACTTTCTGAGCTTGAAAGAGCAGTTTTTCTGTCTCTGGTGTCTGGTTTGAAGTTTTCTCAGAAAAGCTTTTCTACAGTTCTTCACAAGAAAGCAAGGGAATGAGCCTTCAGAAGTAACAGAGGACTTTTAGAGTCTGAAGCTATTTTCCTTTGCAAGGCTGGAGGAGGGAAAGGAGATAGAAATGAGATGGTAACAGTAGAATTATAGTTGGACTGATAGTCTCACTGATCCCTATTCTGGTTTTGGACTTGCTCGAGCTTCCACAAAATACACCATACAAATCAATAAATTACTTAAGGCTTTTTCTCCTCTTTAAACTGTGGGAGGGAAAACATTAATCTCCCTGCTTTTGAAGGCTTGCCTACAATACAAGTTATGAGTCTCATATTGAAGGGCTGGGGGAAATTTACTGTGGGCATTTTTTTCCCCCTCAAAGGGTGGTGAGAAACCATATAAGATCTGCGAATGCTGGGACTGGAGACCAGCAGAAACTCAAAAATCTACTGTATCATTCACATGTCTTTTGCAAACCATGGCTGTTTTCCAGTTATTGTATGCCAGCAGGGAAGGAAGGGGGTGCAATGAGATCCCTTTGGGGGTGCTGCTGTTTCTGGGAGTGCCATGGCTCAGATGGGTGGCCACAACAGTCAGTGGCTTTGTCTGTCTGGACAAAGGAGGATAAAGTCTAAGGAATAGTTTTTGTAAGCTCTGCCTGCACCAAATGGACTTCCAATCACTCAGTTTCTGGGCTTAGGAAATCAGTATTCATTTTTAGGAATGGATGTGATGTGGGATGAGGGTATTTAACAATGGTATGAGTGTGAATACTCTCCAGCCATGTTTTGGACCCTTTTTGCAACCCCTTTTCACTGTGACTGGAGCCCTGCTCCCTGGCTGGGCAGGATCTGGCATCCTGCTGTTCTCCTGGGAGACACATTCTGTCCTCTGCCTATTGACTGCTTTGTGGTGTCTTTTGCTGGCTGGGCAAAATAAAATTTCAGCTGTACCCACAGTGACTGCAAAGGAATGAGATTTTGGAATAGTGGAAGGATAAAGGCTTGCTACAGAGCCAGAGGCAACAGAGCAAGGGTTGTTCACTGGGTTTTGTATAAGGGCTGTGGCAGCAAGAAGACATTTTCCATGGGTGAAAGGTGTGCTCAGAGACACTTTACACAGCTGGGGATGCTGCCTCTGGTGCCCCTGTGGGTAGTTGTGAAGCCTAGTTGATCATAAGTGCCTCATCTTCCTAATTTTCATCTACAAGCTCTGCTGAATCTTTATTACCCTGCCTGAATGTTTTTCCAGTGTTTCTGAAGAAGGGCAGAGCATTACTTTTACAACCCAAGTGATTTTATGAAAAGGATTGAACTCAGGTCAACAGTAACTCATCCATAAGAAGTGCAAGCTTTAGGGAACTGAAACATAAACCGTATCAGAAATGACACAACCACTAATTCAGTGTAACCATGTGGATGTGAAAAACATCCAAATTACCAAATTAGTTCTAGCTTTTGCTCTTCCTCTGAGAAGAAAGCATGATGTTATATTTCCTTCCTAGAAGCTTTGCTTTTCCTCTCTGTGCTGAAGAAAAGTGAGAGGTTGTTGCATCCTGGAAGGAAGAGATCTCAGTATTCACTGCTGAGTGTGCACAGCCTGTGCATTGCTCTCTATGAGGGGCAGGGCTTCATTATGGAATGGCAGAGGGTGACCATATGGTACCAAAGTATTTTCCAATTCTGTTTGTGCACTATCTTCAAAAGCAATTTTTCCATATTCCTGCCTCTTACAATTCTCTCTCTTTTTTTTTTTTTTTTTTCTAATTTATTTTCTCTTTTCCCTGATTTTATTTTATCCTCTCCTTCTACAAGGCCTCACTTTTTTCTCCTTCTTTTCTGGTATGCCCAGACTTCAGGTTCTTATGTGTTCTGCCATTCCCTTTCCAGTTCCTGGCCGAGAAATCTGTCAGGTGTGCTGGAATGTTGCTGGGACAGAACTGAAAGAGTGGTAGAGTAGGGGAAGGAGTTAAAACTGAAGACTGGGAAGCTTTGAAACAGAACACAATAGTTATTGTGCTAATTTTCATCTCCATAGCAACACTAATGCAATATTTTTCCCTCACTCCTGGAATTCCCCTCCTATGGTCTCCTGCTGGGCTCAGCCTGGAGACCAGCAATGGCACAGGGACTGGGAAGGTGCCTGTATGGCTTTGAATTGTTGGAAAATGGATGAGATTTGAAGAAATCAGTAGTAACCTACTGGTGCAACGCTATGGGCTGCCCCTGAGGTGTGGGACAGATCAGACCAGGAGGTTTGTCATCAAGGAACAGAAAGGGTCCTGTTGAGATAGCGATGGCAGCTGGTGGAGTAGACAGCATTAATTCTGTGGGGAGCTTCTCACGGAGGTTCTGTGGGGATGACAGGTCAATGTCACTGTTAAAGGTGACCCCTCCGAGAGACACTCTTGCCTTTGAATGTAATGTCCTTGAAATTTGGGTTTAGGTCATCTGAAGGTCTGAACAAATTGTGTAGCAAAAAAATTGATATTTTGCACTATTTTTTTTTCTGAATTCAGACCATTAATAGTGTGAGACTGTGATTAATGCAAACTGAGCATTTAAAAATCTGTAGGCATCTTTACATATCTTAGTTTGGGTAATGTATCTTGTAGAAGTTAAAGGTAGCTGAAGGCTCAGAGCATCATTCAAACTGTAAAGCAAACTACAATCTCAATTGCATTTTCTCCTGTACCTGATATCTTGGTTACCATGCTTGCATTATAATAAGCTTTGGGGTTTTTTTTTAACCCTCATGGTACCACCATACTGAGCAAGAAAAATCTGGGAGGGAGGAGAGTTTTTGATACTCCACAAATGCAATTGTTCCAACACTGCTGAACACTGCTGTGCCATTTGAAAAATGCCAGAGGGCAAACTTTGAAGAGGCATAAGAAGCACCAAGAGGGAGAAGAAAATGTTAGAAAGTGCTGTTGTGACAGATGGTGAGATGGTAGGCTGTTCTCAGATGGAAACATTTTAAAGAGTTTTGCTTCTCCAGTCTGGACAACTTCTTGAGAACAGGCTGGGGGCAAAAACACCCAGAAAGCCTCAGAACAGCTTTAATGTGTGAACTGAACTGCTGGTGGAAAAGAGTCAGTGAGCAGCTCTCTCAGTAGCTGTAGTGGTTGAACATGTTCTGGTAGCAGTGCTGATGTCCATGAAGATCCATCAGCAGTCCTGGCTGGAATTCCTTGTGGCTTGGCTGAGAAACATTAATGCTGTCCACTAAACATGGGAATGCAGTGGTGATCTTCCTAATAATCCATCAGTGCCATTTGGAGCCAAACCAGCACCTACTGGGAGCCTTTTTTGTCAATGGACCCTGACTTCTCTTGCAGTGGTGGAGTATCCAAGCGCTCCCTTCTTGGCTCCTGGCACTGCTGGATGTTACCATTAGCTCTGGCACTGCTCTGGCAGCTAGGACTGAGCGCAGAGCTGGTCCTTTTCAGAAAGTCTTTACTAGGATTCCTCCGGTTTGGACTTGGAGGAGATGTCTAGGAAGGTGTGTAGTTCTGCAGCTGGAACGCTGCTGTGTTTAAAGTGGGAATGTCACATGGGGACCCCAAGGAAACAGGGAGCTTTCAGCTAAACTGAGGGCTCAGTGAAGGAAAGTTGCAGGAAAGTTAGCTCAAAACATGGAACTGCTTTCTGTGTCAGCTGACTCTGAAGTAAAAGTGATGTCATTTTTTCAAGCAAGTGTTCCATTTTACCAAAAGTTTATACTTACTACTCTTACATACCCTCCTTAGCCTGCAGACATGAGGCATTTCTAGTAAAAAAAAAATAGAAGAGGAATAAACCTGGGCATCTTTTACTTCCTCCACTACCTTCTGTCCATCCCTTCTCCCATCTTTAAATCCCATCGCCTTAGTACCCAAATTAGAGACCTTCCTCTCCCCACATATTCAGAGCCTAGAGCGTACATGTAGTTTGCAGAGCACTGAGTGGGCTTAATGTACCATCAGGCTGGAACGTGTTAGGAGCTAATTCTGGGATGCATGAGCACAGGAATTGTCATGGGAACACAGCCTATAACCAAGAAGGAAAAAAATTCCAGTAGGAAAACAGGCTATGGGAGACTTCCATCATGCTGCTCAAAACAACCTTAAAGAGAGTATTATTTTGCAATTATTTCAAAAGAGACACTATGCCATGGAAACCCCTGACAAAGCAAATTGCCTGTAATTAATAAAAGAGGGAACTTTAAAATAGTAATTTCTTCTAGTTATGTCCAAGGACATAAACCTGTCCTTCTTCTAGATCCACTAACGAGAAAAAAATAATATGAGGAGTCAGTTTCCCTCTGACTGAAACTCAGCTAGTAAACATTGTGTAAAAATATGTTTCCTCACTTTTTTTAACTGCCAGAAAGGAAGGTTTGACTTAGCCTACCACATAATCAGATGTTTCCTTTTAATCCAGTTTCCTTGGGAAATAACAGTTACAAGGCTGTGCTGTTGTCAGTCCCCACGAGATCCTTTTGAACTCGTTGCCCAGTTTCAACTAAACTTGCAGAGATATCAAGAGTCCCTTTGCCTTTGATGAAAACAAGGCAAGCCCCTGTTAATGGAAAGGCCACAGCATGTGTTCAACATATTATTAGACATTAGAGAATCTGTGTGAGGGAACAGAAGGAGTGAAAACTTTTGTAAGAACAAAAACTACAGCAAGCAAGCTTTGAGTGTCACTGCTCAGATAACTTTTTGGGAGTTGCTGTACTAAGCTCCATGATACCAGTACTTGTAATTGTTTTCTAATTCCAACCTGTGCAGGGCCTCCTGATAATTAAAGTGTCAGCATTTCAGTGATGAAAAGCCCCATTGAAAATCAATGTTCAGTTGCCATTGCTGCTTGCAGAGAAGACAGAAAGGTCTTGTGAAGGTCTGCAGAACCAGCTGTGAAAGCCTTCTGTCAGCTTGGTGGGAAGGGAGAGCTGTAAGACCAAACCACCATTTGCAAATTCCCGTCCTTTAAACTTAGGGCTGGCTATAGAGAAAATCAGAGGCACATCTCTTATGTGGAGGCCTCCAGAACTGTGTGTCCTGTTTAAAACTTATTTGCAGGTATTCACACCAAGAGAAAGACTGGGTAACCCTGACTC